TATAAAAAGAATAAGTACAGAGAAAACTAAGCAAATGAAAAATAAAGATAAGCCAGTTACTAATTTCAGTGAAAAATACGTATACAACTATAGTATATTATATGACTCTGCTTTGAATAATATTTGCATCATCATATAATATAATCTGTAAACAAGAAAATTCATTGAGAAAACATGGTAATAACTATAGTAGGCCCACCTTATCCACTGACCCCCAGTGGATGTCTGAAACTGCAGATGATACTGAACCCTATATATTCTGGTTTTTTGTGTACATATATACCTACGATAAACTTTAATTTATAAATTAGGCACAATAAGAGATTGACAATGTCAACCTAAGCCAGACACAGTGACTCAAGGGCTGGGCACAGTGGCTCACGCCTGTAATCCCAGCACTTTGGGAGGCCGAGGCATGTGGATCACTTGAGGTTAGGAGTTCAAGACCAGCCTGCCAACACGGTGAAACCCCATCTCTACTAAAAATACAAAAATTAGCCAGACGTGGTGGTGCGTGCCTGTAATCCCAGCTACTCAGGAGGCCGAGGCAGGAGAGTCGCTTAAACCTGGGAAGTGGAGGTTGCAGTGAGAAGAGATCATGCCACTGTACTTCAGCCTGGGTGACAGAGCGAGACTCAGTCTCAAAAAAAGAAAAAAGAAAAAAATACCAATATCAACCTAAAGGAAGAAACTGAGGTAAAGTTAAAATAAGTAGAGACTTTTTTTTGGAATAGGTTTGGGGACTGCAACTCAGGAGACAGATTCGAGTTGCCCTGAATATATGCTCCAACTGGCAGCAGTTACAAGTGGGATTTTAAAGAGAAAAAGAAAGGGCAATTCCTAAGTTGAACAAAGGCTATTGATTAGCTACACATTGTTCTTTGTATCACAAATTCCGGTAACATGAAGACAGTGACAGGAGATCACATTGTGCAAGTTGTGGTAACATAATAGATAATTTCTCAGCTAGTCTGGAAACTACAGGGGAGAAAAAATCAAAATGCATTTTAAAAATTAGCCCCGGGGATGGGTGCAGGACTAAAATCTCATGCTCATGTCTCTCTGGGCCTGATACATTTTGCAGACCTCACATTCTTTAGACTGCTCTGAGTCATTTTTCTTCCTCATTTTCCCCTTTTGACTGAGATCTTTCTCTTACAAAAGCATTGATGAAGTCTGGGCGTGGTGGCTCATGCCTGTAATCCCAGCACTTTGGGAGGCCAAGGCGGGCAGATCACAAGGTCAAGAGTTCAAGACCATCTTAGCCAACATGGTGAAACCCCATCTCTACTAAAACCTCAAAATGCATTTTAAAAATTAGCCCTGGGGATGGGTGCAAAATTACAAACATTACAATTACAAGTAATACAAAAATTAGCTGAGTGTGGTGGCATGCACCTGTAGTCCCAGCTACTTGGGAGGCTGAAGCAAAAGAATCACTTAAACCCAGGAAGCAGAGGTTGCAGTGAGCCAAGATAGCACCACTGTACTCCAGCCTGGTGACAGAGCAAGACTTCATCTCAAAAGAAAAAGCATTGATGACCGACATTTTAAATGTAAGTTTGTCCCATGTCACTGAGGAGGCTCATTCCCAAGTAATTTCATCCTGTGTCGGAGGGAAATGGGAGAGGTACTATAGCTTAAGAACTTAGTGAGGCCTCAAGGCCAAGTTGATTGTCAACACAATGGGACAGAGCAGCCAGATCTCAGTCAGGCCATCACATACAAAAGAGCAGCGGTGTGTTGGATCATTTCTAAGCATCCAGCCATCATGATTTTAGTTTTTGTTGTTGCCTTTAGACATCTAGAAATACAAGGCAAGATCAATTTAAGGATCAAAAATACACAACTAAGAACAAATATTAAGGAAACCATTTGAAATCCAGACTTGCAAGTGTTCCTTTTCGTGAAGGTAATCAGTCAAATGCTGTAAGTGATCTGTTTTTCCAACATCTTGCAGCCATCTCGCCCTTTGAGTGATTTTTTCTAACCAAGTTTCCACTTCTCATCCTGCTCTGAAGCACAAGGCACCTGGCCATGGGCCAGCTTCAGTTAGAGATCTTGATGATGGAAGATGTCCACTTAGGCAGAGCCCTTTTAAAATGAGGAATGTGAACTTGTGAGTCAATGCCATTGAGCTGCACAAGGATTGATTAACAATACCTGATATGGTACCTTCCAAAATGGTCGAAAGGAGTTCTTTATTTCATGGCGTTTCCGATACATAAAATTGGAATAAAATTGGAAGCCATGATCTTTGATGACTTCGTCTCTGGGGAGCTCGTTGTTAAAATAATCCTTAATTAATTTAGAAGTTTTAGTGAGCAGCTTTATAAGGCCTTGGCAATAATGAAGAATGTCACCTTTAAGGAGAGCTCGTTCCACTTCTTCATCTAGGTGGGTGGGTTTTCCTGTTATTATCCCAAAGACAGAAAGCTGACGCTTTCCAAATGGGGAAGCATGTAAGTTAAGTGACACCAACAGAAGACCATTAGGCCAGGGAATGTTAAAAGTCCCTGTAAGCCCTGCCAACTAATTTTTTTTTTTTTTAACGGAATCTCACTCTGTCTCCCATGCTGGAGTGCGATCTCAGCTCACTGCAACCTCCACCTCCCAGGTTCCAGCGATTCTCCTGCCTCAGCCTCCCGAGTAGCTGGGATTACAGGCGTGCACCACCAGGCCTGGCTAATTTTTGTATTTTTAGTGGAGACGGGGTTTCACCATGTTGGCCAGGCTGGTCTCGAACCCCTGACCTCAGGTGATCTGCTCATCTCAGCCTCCCAAAGTGCTGGGATTACAGGCATGTGCCACCAGGCCTGGCTAATTTTTGTATTTCTAGTAGAGACGTAGAGACGGGATTTCACCATGTTGGTCAGGCTGGTCTCGAACTCCCAACCTCGGGTGATCTGCTCATCTCGGCCTCCCGTGCCAACTGATTTTTGTCATCTAGTTTGTGTATCCCACCGGGCTGGAAGACTGAGGGTGTCATGCACAACAGAAATGCTGAAAAATAGGCCATAAATGACAAGTAGCATGAAGGATTTGACACTGAAATGGGTTCCCAGGCTGCTGTGAAGCTCAAAAGAACCTTCCCCAGAAGAAATAGAACTTAACATGGCCCTGGTTAAAGATGCAATTGGCAAAGAAATTTGGTCTTTTTGTTTTCAGTTTACTCGAAAGGTGTGTAAAAATCTTTTACTATCTCTTATTAATACTACAAAAGAATCTTATTCAAAAGAAAAACAAACTCAACCTTTGTATTAATGTATTAGTAATATTAAACCTAATTTTAATAAACCCTTACAAACAGATCTATCTAATCAGCTTTGACCACAAAATAAGATTTCCATAAATCCTCCATTTAAAACAACCTTTAAATAACTAGGCAAAATTACCTTTTCTTTAATAAAGTAACACATTCTCTGTCTTTCTTATCATTTTCTGTCTTTCTTATAATTTTCCTTCCAAAACCATATCCTACTTTTTTGTTTTTTGTTTTTTGGTTGTTGGGTGCTTGTTTGTTTGTTTTTTTGAGATGGAGTCTCACCCTGTCTCCAGGCTGGAATGCAGTGGCGTGATCTCAGTTCACTGCAACCTCTGCCTCCTGGGATCAAGTCATTCTCCCGCTTCAGTCTCCCAAGTAGCTGGGATTACAGACACCCACCACCACACCCAGCTAATTTTTGTGTTTTTAGTAGAGACAGGGTTTCACCATGTTGGCCAGGATGGTTTCGATCTCCTGACCTCGTGATCCGCCCCCTCGGCCTCCTAAAGTGCTGGGATTACAGGCGTGAACCACCGCGCCCGGCCTCCTACTTTTCATATACATTCTGCTTATAGAATTGTTTTTCTTACATCGAATAGTTTTAATTATATATATATTAGCTACAGTCTTAACTCCTGGCAACTGTAATTTCTGGTGAAATACCAAGAAAGTAAGTAATTTTAATTGTTATGTATCAGGTACAGAGCCTGGGACAGAGGCTGGAGCTGTGAAGACCACGCCCGCAGGACGTGATCCCTCCCAGCATGACCAGGGGGCAGAAGCCAGCAAAGATGTGTTGGGCTTGGCTCTGCCACACAGCTGGTGGCCTAGACACTGTGGACATCCATATGACTTCGGTTCTCACCACGGCCACCTCCTAAACCGCAGAATCTAAAGGCTCAACACCAAAGATGTCAGCGCACAGTAAGATGTGCGCAATACTCCAGGGAAGCCCAGCCACCTGCCCTCACAGCTTTAACTCCCAGAAAAAAATCACAGAAGCATAAAAAGTATCACAGAAGCTACAGTTTTATAACCTTAAAACATCTAGCTGAGACAGTATCTATTTGTTCACCAGTAGACTTGGGCAAAAAAAAGGTCTACAATTCTGAAGACATTTCTATTTTGCTTTACCAACAATGTTTAAGCTAGCTTTATTTACCGAAGATTGCTAAAGTCATGTAAACTTGAAAGCATTTGGGCACGCGATATGTGAGTACTCATGCACTTATAAGTCAATTTGGTACCATGCAGGCAACATACACACAGACATGTACCCATGTAAACATAAAAACAGAGATAGGCACAAAAATTGTACGGCTTTGACTTTAAAATTTTAGCCAGGAGGCAAGTAAAACTCTCTAGTTTAAAAGGACACTTGGATTAAACTGTGCCTCTGTAAATGGAACAAATTAAAATTTATCTGTCCCACATGGCTGAAGCCCTTACTGGGTTTTGGAGAAAACAGGGTAACAAATTAACATCTTGAAACACAGAGAAAGAATTTACATTTTCAAAAGGGTTTTGGTTTTGTCACAGAAAGATTAAGAATCAATCCCACAGGAACACAGAACCATAAGAATTCACCACAGGATTGATAAGGAGCCCAGTTTCATTTAGATAGGTAGCTTCCAATTCGGTCTTTGTTTTCCAACTGGGCCACTGAGCTCAGGGTAGAGCTCATTAATGAACAGAGCCCGCAAAGCATGTGTCGCTCCCAGGGCCTAATACTTACAAATGTGAAAAGCAGGCCCAGCTGAAAGGCAGAGCATCTAGATCTTCCGAAATCAAGGATCCCACTTTACATTGAACCCCATGTCCCCCAGATGAGGAAAACCTGATGGGACCAGGTCCTGCAACACTTCCGCAGAGCTCCTCACTACAAGACATTTGCCGGAGACTGCTGGGCGATCCAACACCAACCAGCCCCCTCTGCCGTCAGCCCAGCCCCCGGGGGAGTCCTATCCCTCGGTGGTGAGTGTTCCCACAGCGTCCAAGTATCCAAACCACACTTTTCTTATCTAAACACACAAAGAAACAAGTAATCCGTGTCGTAAATACATTCACTGCAACGGCTGCAACCACCTCCAAAACTGCAGCTCTCACAACTCGCTCACCAGCCATCACACACACAAAGGCCACATTCTCTCTCGCAATCCAATGGAACCCCTGGTGCCCACAAAGCCAAAGAGATCGGGTAACTCAAAGCAAAAGAGGGCAGACTTTTAGCCCTCAGAGGGACATGCCCACTGCTCTTGGGACGCCACGAGGAAAGCAAAAGTCCTCGCAAAGGGCCTGTGGTGACTTTTCCTGCGTTCCTCAAGAGGGCTCAGGGCTGTTGGAAATCTCCTCCAGACTTCTTCATGTGGTATCTAACATGGCAAAAGGAAGGAGGAACAGAAATGGAAGGAAACAGACCAAGTCCTAGAGGAGCCAATTTGGGGAGATTTTAAGGTTTCTAAAAGGCCAATGTTGGGAGGCTAAGACGGGCAAATCACCTGAGGTCAGAAGTTCGAGACCAGCTTGGCCAACATGGTGAAACCCCGTCTCTACTAAAAGTACAAAAATTAGCCGGGCATGGTGGCGGGTGCCTGTAATCCCAGCTACTTGGGAGGCTGAGTGGAAGAATCGCTGGAACCCGGGAGGCGGAGGTTGCAGTGAGCCAAGATCGCACCACTGCCCTCCAACCTGGGCAACAGAGGGAGACTCTGTCTCAAAATAAATAAATAAATAAAATTAAAAGCCAGTGAAGTTTTACATTTTTGTCAGCAAAAATCATGCCAACAAGAAAGGAAGCAAACAGAGGGACCAAACATATTTGAAAAACAGATTCCGTGGACTAAAAAGCAATTCCCAGAAACAGTATCCAAAAGAGAAAAGGAAGAAAGGAAAAAAATTATAGTTTGAAAATCAGCTTTTAATTAAGCCTGCTCTGACCATACAGCTCATTAGAAAATCCTTTCAAATCTCTTATTACCAGATTGCAGTCAGGGCAATCAGAAAGTAGGTTTCCCATTCATTCGTCTGGTTCTAAAACCTGCATTTTCCCATTGTGCGTGCACATATATTAATTTAGAAATGTCGAAAGACCCCCAATTTGGCCATTGCTACTTGGGGTGAGCTTGAATTGCGTGGGTCCAAGGTGGAGCTCCACAGGTGTTCTACACAAATACAGCTGGTGTTTCCGAGGGCCGGGGGATGATCCTTAAGGGAAAACTCAGCTTTGACAATCAGCTTTGACAAATTCCCTTTCAAAAGTGACCAAGGCTGGAACAATGTACTGGGCTGAAGTGTGCTGTTCTGTGAGTGCCATTCCTCAAAGTCGTGATTCATTCCTTTTTTTTTGAGACAGAGTCTTGCTCTGTCGCCCAGGCTGGAGTGCAGTGGTGCGATCTCAGCGCACCACAACCTCTGCCTCCCGGTTCAAGCGATTCTCCTGCCTCAGCCTCCCGAGCAGCTAGGACTACAGACACATGCTACCACACCCAACTGATTTTTTTGTATTTTTAGTAGAGATGGGGTCTCACCGTGTTAGCCAGGATGGATTCACTCTTTTTACATGTCTCGGAATCTCTCATCACTTTTCGGCAGCAGAGCACTCAAGGTGCCAGGTGACCAGCCCTTTTATGTGCACCTTCTGGCTAACCCGAAAGTCCCTGCAGATATTTTTCTCGAAGAGAGGTCCTATAAGGCTACTACGTATCATGGACAAACATTTCAACACCTCCATAAAGTCTCTAGTCACCTAGAGTCCCCCAGTCAGTATGGGGGGAGGGAGTGTCTCTTAACTTGGGAGTGGGAGAACTCACTCTCATGTTGTTTTCCGTTTAAAACCAGCAGGAATTGATTAAATTAAAACACAAGCCCACATTACAAATAATAGGAAGCAGCTGCAATTTTTAAAGGGTGCTATGCAATTTTAGGCCAAAAAATACAATGAAAGAACTTACGCTAGACTACCAATGCTGTAACCCAAACCTTTTGCCATGAGGTAGAGGCAGAATAAGGCAGAAGTTCTCTGCAGAGGTTTTTACCCAAATCTCCTGTCCAGAGACAGAAGTGAAAGCCCTCACTTTTAAAAGAAAGAGAGAGTTTGAAAACAAAATCTAGACCTCAACTCAAAGGAAGTGAGGTCTGGATTCAAGAGGACTCACTCTTTGTGCCCAGGGAAACCTCTGGAGTCAAAGGAACTCAATCGGTTCATCCTGGTACTGAGTGCCACGTCCAAGAGTGCCCAGTGGCAAGGGGGCGTCACTGTGAAATGTCGACCCAAAGGAAGAAACGGAGGCAAAATTAATATGAGTAGAGAGTTAATTTGGGACAAGTTTGAGGACTGCCACCCAGAGGACATAGACTCAAGTTTCCCTGAATATATGCTCTGATAGCAGCAGTTACAGTGGGGTTTTAAAGGAAAAAAGATGGGACAGGCAGTTCTTTAGTTGACATAACCTATTGATTGGCTATATGCTGCTTTTTGTATCACAAATTCCAGGAACATGAAGATAATGGGCGAGGGCTACATTGTGCAACTGGTAACATTTTCAGTAATTTACCAGCCAGTCTGGAAACTACAGGGAAGAAAACAGAGAAACTAGAATGACTTTAAACAATTAACCCTGGGTTTGGGTGCAGGGGTTGTGACTGAAATCTCATGCTTATGCCTCCTTGGGCCTGATCAGTTCTGCAGAACTTACCTTTTTTTTTTTTTTCTTTTTTTTTTTTTTTGAGACTCAGTCTTGCTCTATCGCCCAGGCTGGAGTCCAGTGGCGTGATCTCGGCTCACTGCAACCTCCCCCTCCTAGGTTTAAGCGATTCTCCTGCCTCAGCCCCCCGAGGAGCTGGGATTACAGGCGTGTGCTATGGCACCTAGCTAATTTTTGTATTTTTAGTAGAGACGGGCTTTCACCATGTTGGCCAGGCTGGTCTTGAACTCCTGACCTCAGGCAATCCACCCACCTCTGCTTCCCAAAGTGCTGGGATTACAGGCGTGAGCCGCCGCGCCCGGCAGACCTTACATTCTTTAGACTGCTCTGAGTCACCTTTCTTCGTCAACAACAATAACTGATGATAAAATCGAGAAGTCATAACAATCGACTGTGATAAAAGTTATGTGAATGTGCTCTCCTTCTCTCTCCCTCCAAATATCTTCCTGTACTATGCTAACCGTTCTTGTGATCGTGTGAGATGATAAAATGCCTACATGATGAATTGAAGTGAGGTGAATGACATAGGCATTGTCACATAAATGGAAAATCCCAGAGGTAAACAGTGTGTGAGTTTTAAACTGCACAGCATTCTGAGTAGCACCCAGGACATGAATCCTCCCTATGCCCAGCACGTCCATGCTGCAGACGCTGCCCACCCATTAAGTCACTTAGTAGCCATCTTGCTTATCAGATGGGCTGTTATGGTATTTCAGTGCTTGCCTTCAAGTAATCCTTATTTTACTTAATAATGACCTAAAGCACAAGAGTAGCAATAGAATATGTTCACACCACAGTTGACCACTGATAAAATGAAACCTCAGACACAAAGCCATCAGTAAGGGAAGGACTCCTGTACTAGGGAAAACAGGGAGGGTGTGGATGAAAGAGAGTGGAGGTGTAAGAGAGCTCAAATCCTCAACTTCTGCCAGAATAAGTCTACAGATAAAGCCTAAACTGATCAAATATGTTTGTGTATAGCAGTATAGGAACATTATTGAGGAAGAGAGAGATGTGGAAATATTAGCAAAATGAAAGAAGCTAAAAGGTTATAAATGTAATTGCCTCTGGATTTAGGAAGTCTGATGACAAATTTAACACATCCTTTGTAGAAGCCGAGTAGAAACTGCCCCTTCATTCTCTGAAGGTTCACTGAAAGGAAACTAACAAACGGCATATTAATAGGAGAAAAGGCACACAAATTTATTAACATGCATGGGAGTCACACAAAATACAAGAACTCAAAGAAATGGCCACATGGTTGATGCTTTTATACCATCTTGAGGTTACAGAAAGAATGGGGGCCCCAGCCACGGCCAAGAACAGGTAATGGAAGTGGGAGAAGAGGAGGCCTGGCTACCAGAGGTGGTCTTGTTGTGTAGATGAGACCTCACAGGCTGCAGCCCTCCTCAGAGAGAATAGATGGTAAATGTTTATTTAAGACCTTTAAGGGTGTCAAACTCCTGGTTTACCATTCCTAGACAGGACAAAGGAAGACCTCAGATAAAGTCAGCTGCATCAATACAGGTTTTCTGTAGAGATGCAAATCTCCCCGCAAAAGACAAGTTTGCAGGGCTACTTCTGTCTGCAGGCCCTCTCTGAATGGCCATCTCAAGATATACCAAAGAAGTGTATTTTGGGGTGAAGTATCTTGGTATCCTTCACTACACCCCTGTGAAATACCACCATCACAATCAAGACGATGAACACAACCATTGTCCCCAAAAGCTTCCACACGCCCCTGGCTCTTACCTCCTCCCAGTCCCCAGGCGACCCCTGAGCTGCTTTCTATCACTATACATTACTTTGCATTTTCTACAACTGTATATAAATTAAACCATACAGCAATTGTTCTTTTTATTCTGTGGCACAGCAAAATTTTTTTAGTTATCTTCCTTTTTTTAGTGAAAACATTTAAGATCTACTCTCAGCAAATTTCAAGAGACAAGGTCCCCACGTGAGCCATGAAACAGAAGGTACCACCTCACCTGCTCTTTCCCCAACAGAGAGCGGATGGGACCCAGGGCTAAGGTGGAGGAGGGCAGGGAGGGGAGCCACAGAGCTTCGGTCACTGAAGACCTCCTATCCCTCAGCCCTCAGCCCCAGCTCCGCGGCAAAAGTAGGCATGACTCAACCACCAGACAAGCTCAGGGCACCCCCAGAGCTGTGAGAACATTTCCTGTAGAGACCCCAGGAGGCAGCAGAGAAGGCCTGAGTCAGCCTCCTCAGTGCCTTGTGCCTAGAGGAGCAA